GATTACAATATCCTGACTACTAAACTAGGGTTCTCCTAGGAGACTATCCTATCCTAGTCTAGACTACCCTGAGCCAGGTATTATATCTTTATTTAGTAGTCTGTTACACTTTTTTCTGTTGTGCTTTGCCAGCTGTCCTTTGCCCCAGGATTAAAAAAAAACCAAAACAACAAACCAAAAAAACCAACTTGCCTATGCATTGTGGAAGAGGAACCTTCTTTACCATGGGAAAGCTCTTTCTGCTTGCTCTTTGATGTCGTCTTGGATTAGAAAAGCAATGTATTGTTCCCCCTTAACCTTGTTCAGGATTTCATTGTATATTCTATTATGCTATTTTTTTGGAAAGATAGTTCTGGTTTTTTGTTTGAAAACTTATCCTTGAAGGATAGCAAAGCCAAAGAGTGCATTTCAGTTTTGTGTCTTTAAGAAGCATAGAGATCAGTCAGCTATGTTTGTTTGAAGTATCTTGAAGTATGTAGTGAGCTGTATGGATATTCAGTCCATTTGACTGAAGCAACCATATTCGACATAATTTCAGGAGCTTGACTATTCAGTGGGCTAGTGATGATCAAAAAATAAACAGCCCCCCCCCAGCTGGTTAGAGCCATCTCAAAAATAAACTGAACAAGGAACAAAAATGATCCCTGCTTATCTTTTATCTAAATAATGCCAGTTTCACAACAAATAATGTACAGGCTACATTTCTTAAAACACTTGGACATGTTCACAGCAAATCTCATTTCCAGGACTTAATATAGAAGTGCTAAAAAGCCTTTTCACATGTATATTTTCATAGTATAGGTTGTTCGCTGGAAGGGAGCTGAATGAGGAGGATCATGATCAAAATATCTGACGATCATGATCAAAATATCTGAACACAGGAGTAGACAATATTAATATACTGCTATGTGCTGTGGGTCTGGATTTCAGAACTAAATTGGCATAATCCATAAAATGTCACTGTTCTTGGTATAATAATGAAGTTGAAACTGGTTAACTTATTTTAAAAAAAAAAAAAACATTATCTTTCACACCTAAACATTTAATTAGATTAATGGCACTAGAAGCATAGTAATGTAGCTCAAGGACAATAGTTGAAAATAACTTACATACTGATCTGCTTTTAGATGATCAGACAATGCATCAGTCTTATTTTATCTGCAGAATGATTCCATAATCTTTCGTGGGACAAATCCATGTTCACAGGAGTCAATGGTATATGAAGTCTGTTTGTAGGTCTGAGAATTTTAATTCTTGATCTTGGAATGTATAAGGAAGAGCAGAACACTGTAAAGGGCTTAAACTGTTTTCCTTAATAGGATCATTTCTGCAATTTCATATGCAGAAAAAGCTATTGCAAAGCAAAAGTCTTGAAACCAATTCATCAGAAGATTTAGAAGTTGCAAGAGCCATGTTCCCTTTAGCTGAGAGTCCTGAAAAGGCTTTAAAATGAAGTTTAATCTAGCTGTTGCCAATATCTTATACAATCATATTCAAATTTTCTGTTCAATTAGGGCCCTAGAAAATAGTAAGCTTACCTCAAAGGAGGGGGTACTAGGTACATTGTGGTCTGCAGGCCCCAGCTTTAGGTAAGTTGAAAATAAAATGAAATGTTGAGTTATAAGTTATACCTTGTTCAGTAGGCTGAGGACAAATGAAATTTTGGTAGGGAAAAGTAAACTCTCAAGGGTTAAGGATAACTGAATGTCAAAAAGGTCTTTGAAAGTCTGACTAAATTCATAGTCCTCAGCACAAGCTGTTGAAACCTCAACTAGTAAGTTACACATCCATGTCTTGCTGACCTTGTTTGCCTGCAGACTGTTATGGGATAGTTTGTTCATCTGTATATTGAATAAATTCTGCCTTTCTGTTTGCCTTGTTCCTATGGATCCGTGCCACATAGCATGTTGATCATTCTAATCATCTGCTGTGATTCATGGTTTCCTCACTTGTGGACTGTCTTTAATACTTACTTTTTCTTGTGTGTTCTCCAGGGCTTCCTTTGCTGCTCTGCAGCCAAGTCTTTACTGTGTTTCCCTTTACTTGTTCTTCACTTCTTATGGTAATGGTCCCAGCTTTGACTGTGTGCTTTCTCCTTCAAACTTGGCAACTACTGTATTCTTCTGTTTTGATCCCGTACCGCCCCAACCTCACCAATTCAGTTCACACCCTGTCAGCTCAAAAGGGAAATGCCTGCTCTGTCTATTAAACACTGTGGGTAATAATTTATTTTCTTTCCCTTTCATCTTCCTTGTACCTAATGAAGCTGTTTCTGAGAGCTGTGGAAAAACACCAGATTTCTCTGAAATTCATACCCAGTCTCTGCTCAAGTTTACTTTGCACCTCCTACTTTGCGTGATCGTCCTGGTCTCTTAAGATGAATGCCAAGTCCACAACTAAGCCACTTTGCTTTCATTTTGTCCAATTAATAGATTTTCCTGCTTTCTTGCACTAGTCTTTCATATGATCTTAGGGTATTTCATAGATCCTGTCACCGCTTTTCCTTTCCCTTTCTGTCTTTCTCTACTGCTTGTTAAGCCTTCCATTCCAGGAAGATAAAAGGTGGTGACTCATGGAAATTTCTAACTACTTACTCAGATCAAATCCACATAAGTCTCCAGTTCAGGCTCTTTCACCAGCTTCCTTGTTGAAGTTTACATTCACCATTTTCCTCTTCTGTGTAACTCTTCTTCCTGTCTTAATGATTTTGGTAGCCCAGAGTTTTTGGTTCTTAAACCATTTTATCTTCAGTGTATTTTGCATGGTGTGCAGGGGGAAATGAAATAAGCTGGTAGCTGACACTTCACTTCGCACTGTGTGTGTTCCCTTCGTGTAGGTGATCTCAAGTCTTCAGTTAATGTTGTGGCAGTTAAAACTGCCTACTAATTTATTCAGCCTGTTGAATTCTGTCTTAACGGACATGCGGTGGAAGGCCTGCTGGTTCGAACTTCAAAATAACAAACACATTGTTTCATTCTCAAGTATCTTACTTAATTCTTAATCATTTGGCTGTGCTACCAAACATTTATTGCTTGCAGCTGTGACTCAGAATAGACTTCTTCCTCTGCCAGAGTGCATACCTCTGAGGTGTGTCAAAATCCTACCCTTTCTTTCAGAAGAAGGGCAGAAATTGATTCTTAGTCATTGCACTCTTACTGTGTCTTTCTGGTACTTTTGTAACACTTTCTAGGTCCTGTAAATGCTTCCTCTTTATCTTTGTTGGCAGGTATGTGTCTCAGGCATTCTGGTTTTATGCTTCCAGACAGACTTATAGCTTCCAGAATTGTATTTGTTGCTTAAGTTCACCATCTTACAATTTTCAGTATTTGAAAACTAAGACCGGTAGCTCGAATTTGGAGTAGTTCAGGACAACATTGTCCTTCTGCATAGCGATAACAGCATTGTCAAGGCAACCCTCCCCCAGTTCTCTTGCAAACACTTCCATGGCTTGCTTTGTTGATACTTATGCATAGAGCTAGAATGAACCTACTCATTTTCCCAGCCTTTTTGAGAGTTTGGTGTTAACAAGACATTTCCTAGAGATTAACAGTTTTCTGGTAATCCTGGGGGAGAATGTCATTCTGAGGAGGCTGCTGGTCATGAAATAATAGAATTAATATTGTCTTCCACTATACTTAATATTGACTACTTTTCCTATGTCTTTGGATTTCAATATTTTTGATACAGCTTTGTAATTCTAACTTGGAAATTCCTTCATAAATACTAAGTGCTTTTCAAAATAAAGTGTGTATAAGAGTTTGAAACCTTTTGTGGTTTTAAAACTGTCTAAACAGAGTGAGAATATATCTGCCTTTCAATGAAACAAGTCCTGGCATTGTGGTATTTGTATAAGAGGCAATGTCATATTCAACACCTAAAATTGGAAATAAGCTAACAGATACTGTGGCTAAGTTTGTCATGTCTGGGGTAGCATTTTTAACAAAAGAAAATTTCAGAGAACTTTGTAAGAGAAGTAGGTTTTTGAGCAGGGCACTGTGGTTAAGAGTTGGTACTAAATGTAGTGTGTGTTGGAACAGCTAAACATGTCAAGTGTGCTGCAGAGTGTTAATGAAAACTGTGGCAGTCTTAATGAAACAAAGCATATAATCTGAGAAGGTTTTTTATGCTTAATTTACAAAAACATCTCTACTATCTTCAGTCCTATTTCCTGGATATAACATCTAATTCTGTAAAATTCTGATACAGATTAGGCTTCTTCCACTGTAATATAGTGGTTGTTCAGACTGTCATCTTTTTTGAAAATATGGAAGAAATAGGTTCTGGAAATAACTGTAGCTATCACTTACAGATAACTTAATGGGCCTGTGAAAAAAGTGTATGACTAACAGAAGGTAATTTGAACCGCACATTGTCTCATAAAATTGAAGGGTAATCAATAGAAGTATGAAACTTTAAATTTAAAATCGACAGAGGCAGGGTGTTTTTGTTTTTACAAAAATTGTTTTCAACCAGTGATGTTGCTGGTATGCCTGTAAGCCTGTTGTAGATGAAACCAGATAATTCACTGTGTCTACCTACTTCCTGGACAAAAACAACCAGTGAACAATGAAGTGAAGTTGCTCATAGGCAGGTGGTGTATCATTGAGATTTAATGTCTAGCATAATGTAACATGTTCTCAGAGACAGAATATTGGGGAAAAAGTTTAAAAGTTTTTGGGCTTTTTTTTTCCAGGGGCAGGGGGAAGGGAATGCCTCTGTGCCCATCCTCATTTCCTTCAGAAAACAGTACTTTAATGCTGTAATTCTATCTTTTCTTTCAAAAAAAGGGCGTTATTTTGAAAGTAGAAAGGTTATTCTGTGATATTAATGTTCTGTGCCTTGGCCAGTAAGTTTTCAGTAGCATTACTGTTCTGTTTCTATTCTAGCAAGCTGTGCTGTGTACTTGTATATAATTTTTCATGTATAGGGACTGGTAAATGAACTACATATTCATTTTACTAAGAAATGCTGATAAACTCATCTTCTTTTTTCCTGCCCAGTATGATGAATTGGTTCCTGCATCCCTGACAACCAAATACGGAGGGTTTTATATCAACACTGGTACACTGCAGTTCCGCCAGGCATCTGACTCAGAGGATGAAGACTTTGCAGAAGACAAAAAGCATAGGCCACCTAAAGTGAGTGATCTTAATTATGCTTTTTATAGCTAGGTGGACATTGGGAAATACTTGATACACTTAGAATGGCTCAGATGAAGAGGCTGAAAGCAGAATGATGCACAGTACTGTTTTATTGCATTTTCTGTTTTGTGGCTCATGTACTAGTGTTCGGGAAATAATTCAGGATGTCCACAGGCTGTCCAGTCTTATAAGACTAACCATCTGTTTAGGCAAGCTAACAAGTTGTATCCATGCATTTTGAAGTGACAGATGATTCTGTAATTTAATAGGATTTTTATTGTATGAGATGAGAACTTAGATTCTCCAACACTGCTTTTATGATTTTGCATAAAGCTTGCATGATTTGAAATTGTTCCTAATACTCAGAATAACACTTAAAATAAAACATCTGTTGAAATAAACTCAGTACATAAGAATAGCTATATAAAAAGTATATATACAGTCTTTCCCAAACAGTGTGTTGTTCTGTGTACTTTGACAAGTTATGATTAATGCAAACGTAATTGCTTGCATATGACATTCACAAGTTCCATGCCATTCCTGCTTTTTGATGTCCTTTCCTGCTCTACAATTCTTTAAATTTAGCATAATTTTAAGGTTCTTGTATTGGATCTGACTGGGATGGAGTTAACTTTCTTCATAGCAGCCCTTATGGTGCTAGGACTTGGATTTGTGACTAAATAGTGTTGATAACACACCAAAGTTTTATCTGTTGCTGAATAATGTTTGCACAGTGTGAAGGCTTTCTTTTTCCCTACCCTGCACCAGCAGGTAAGCTAGGGATCAGCAAGAACTTGGGAGGGGAGACAGCTGATCTGAATTGGTCAAAAAGATATTCCATACTATGTAACTTCATACTTGGCAATGAAACTGTGGTAGCAGAAGAAGGTGCGGGGATTCAGTCTTCCAAGGTGGCCATTGCTCATACTGGCTGGGCATCAGTCTGCGTGTGCCTTAAAGTATTTTTCTTATTGAAAACTCTGAATTCAGTAACTGTTTAAAAATGATTAATGATTGAGGCTTGTCAGTAACTGCAATTGCTGCTAGGAATCCAGTGATACTGTTTGCCTTTACACACATTGAGGTATTTTTCCTGGCTCTGAATTTGAAAGTGTAAGGAAAACTAAATGTTTCTTGCTGTAAAAGTCCTTTAGGGTGGAAGAATCGTTGTCCTTTATTTGATCTCTTTTCTAGATTGCAAAGTTAAAAGAAAGTGAAGATCGTGGAATGAAGAAGCGCAAGCGGAAAGATGAAGGGACAGAAAAGGAGAAGAAGCCTCGGAAAATGAAAGTTCCTAAGCAGTTGGGGTAGGTTTCTTTCTTTAGATGAACCCTTGAATTGTATGTGAGGTTTGGTTTCAAGATTGTGTGCCATAGCAAGATTATCACAGCTGTTTAGAATATTGTATTTTTAAACTATAATTAATAGCTAATAGATTTTGGAATTTGTATGCGTTTTTGGCATAAATAAGTCCTACAAGGTAATTTTTTGTCCCCCAAAATTTTGAACAAGGAATAATAAAACAAGGAAAGACACATTACAGAAAAGAAATTTTGAGTTTATGAATAGCATTAGCCATCATTGTTCTACCCAAAGTCTTGTATAGCACTAAGAACTACATCTGACAAAAAATAATTTTCTTCCCATCCCTTGGTTTCTAATCTGGAAAACTATAAACATAGCTTAATTATTCTACATGTTTCTTATAACTTTGTGTGCTTTCCTGAGTTCTGAGGCTAGCATGGAAGGATTAAGGTGGTGGGGTTTTTAATTGGCTTCTAGAAAACTATTGAGTGAAAGTTGTCTTATTATGAATATTCAAGTTGGTACTGAAAATTTACTGATAGTATTTTTCATCAAGGTGATCAATTGGCAGAAAATGCTCAGTTTAAGTAACATATAGATGTTGAGCCTGCATGTCAAAATTCTTAACAATGAAGAGAATTTTTTTAATGTACATGGTGTGCCTAAACTTAAAGCAACCTGCCACCATTCAGGAGTCTGAGGCAAGTTTAAGTATTTTAGTAGCATAGATCAGCCATGAGTTTAACAACTGTGCCAACTTCTCCATAATGAGAGAAGTCAAAAGTAAACAACTTTTGCCTTAATGTGTAGAAAACTTAGCAAAACAAATCAGTTGGAGAACATGAAATCACATGACCAGCAAAGGTTTATGGTAGTTGATAGAATAGTCTGAAGATGGAAGGACAAAGTACTTGCTGCTTCCCCCTGATAATTTTTTAATTGTACTAAACTCGCAGATTTTTGTTAAAGGTTACTAAGGCCTCAAAAGTCACATGCATTCTAATGAAAGATTTCTTTCCTCTACAGAGTAATGGCCTTAAATTCACACAAATCTGAAAAGAAGAAAAAGAAATTGTATAAAGACTCGCTCTCTCTGGCTGCCATGATCCGTAAATTTCAAAAGGAGAAGGAAGCCATGAGGAAGAAGGAATCGAGTCCAAAACCTCCAGTGACTGTTGCAACCTCTATCCCTAGTAAAATTCCTTCCTCCTCTCTCAGTGCAGGAAACGATATCTCTGACTTGAATCTTAGGATCAATGATCCTGTCCTCTCCATTTTTGGTAGCACAAATGAACGTGAGCTCCTGCAAGAAGCTGAAAGTGCCCTGGAGATGCTGGGAGACATTGACTTTGACAAGTTGCTTGATGGCACTTCTGATGGCAGCCCGGTATCTGAGCTGTCAGGAGAAAATGGAAATGTCACTCAGGCAACCTACACCTCTCAGGTCATGACACCCAAGCAGGTGCCTGCCCTCCCAGAAGGTCTGCCTATGCTACTTGAAAAGCGCATTGGAGACCTTCGAACAGTAAGTATGAATTCACTGGTAAGGGATTGCATTCAAGAATCTGAGAGAACGAGGAAGAATAATTAGGGCCTAAGTTGTCATCCTTGAATTGTTGGCTGAAACTCTAAAAAATGTAGAATTGATCTCAATGTCAATCTTAATATCTGTATTTATACTCAGATGAAAACAGGCACAGAGATGATGCAGGTCAATTGTTAAAGCAGTGTTTGTTCCACAGTGGAGACAAGGTTTTCTAAATCTTCTGTGTACAATAACTTGTAATGTTTGTTTGTTTTTTTCCATAATGGAAATATCAGTGTTACTTTAACTTGAATTATTAGTTGGTGAAATGGATGGGTGTTTTCTTACTTTGGAGGAGGAAACCTGAAATATGACTGCAGCTGACAATTCAATGTCTTGAATTTTTGGATTTGTAACATAAATTTAACTTGCCAGTTTAAAAAAAAAAAAAAAAAACAAAAACACAAAAACAAAACAGCAACAACAACAACAAAAAACCACCACCCAACTACAAAAAAACCCACCACAAAACTGAATATTTTCTTTTGGAAGGTCAGAATGGAGTCCAAACTTGTCAAAAATATTAATGAAAATTATTAAATCCACAGGTTACAAACACCCCAATAGCTTATTGAAAGGGATCAGAGCTATTAAGGTATTATATGCTCATGTTTCAGTTGTGGATGTTATCTTAAGTTGAGAATAACTTTGTTGTTTGATTGTCCAGATTCTGATATTAAAGCTTTTCCTTACTCGGAATAAAGTGCAGCTTTTCCTTACTCAGAATAAAGTGCAGCTTTTCCTTACTCAGCAAGTTTTGAAAAAGCAGTTCAAGTTACTACCTTTTTGGAAAAATAATAATTTTAACAGTAGCAGAGCTTGCTTTGCTACAGGTTAGAGTAATGATAAAACATAATGTTTATCTTACCTGCATGTGAATGTCTTATAGTGTTCTTAGTTATTTTTAAATGTACCAAGCTAAATAGAGCCAAGGGGTTAATATTTACAAAAGTGAGAGAGGTGATTTTGTCTACCTTTGAATATTCAGGTTAATTTTGCTATGAATCAACAACAAGCTTCTAGCAAAACTGCAGAAGAACTGGATTAGGCCAAAAGTCAGGAAGTGTTAGTGGCCTGCCCCAAATTCATGCTGCTTCACTGTATAACAAGCCCCATCCAGTTGGAAGAAAGCTTTAATTCAGTGGCTCTTGGAAAACCTAACTCTTCTATCTTCTACTTCTGATAATGTCTTCTGGAAGTTTGGTGCTGGCTGAGCAGAGCAAGTCTACCCATATACTTGGGGAAAAACTAGGCTGTGTGTTGACTAAAAGATTGCAACTTCCTTACCTTCTGCAAATTGCAATCAACTGACATGTTATCAGTGAGGGAAAACATCTTCTAAAAAGCAGGAAAACAGAAAGGGGTCTTGTCAAATACTTACCAGGCTCACAGCTTTAGTGCTCTTTAGTGCAAAGAAAGCTAAGAAGTTTATAAAACTGGGGAAAAAGCCTATGTTCCATGAATGGAGTATGATATATCTAGATTAAAAAAAAAAAATATTTAGAAAGCCACTGACTAAATACAATAAAAACTTCCTGACTTCCTTTTGTACATTAATGTCTTCTAGTTCCCTAAGTGGGCAATTCTGAACTACTGTGACAGAACACAATTTAGTACGCAAGCAGGAAAGCAATAGAATGTCTTTTTTCTATTGTGAAGGTAACTGTCAAGATAATCTGGG